AATAAACTCCTTTTCCAATTGAAATATAAGAAAGCATTAGTAACAAAAGTGAAAGATACACTAAAGGATACTGAGGTATCTCAGACTGGAGCAAGGTAAAACATGGGCTTAACTGATGCCCTTTCAATCTGCTTCATGATCTTAATGCTGTATATTTAGATCACATAATATTAAGATATGCAAAACTTAGCATGGTAAGAGTTTTTATGATGTTGATACTGTGAGCCTTCAAACTTAGTGCTAGTCTGGACCAACACCCAGGGTTCACAACACTAAGTCTTGTAAATAACAGCTCTCAGAGGAAAACATACAATATGTACTGTTTCAAATATATGAAGTAGAAGCAATCTAGATTAGTATTTGCTTTTTTGTTACTTATCATTTACAGATAAAATAGCAGTATGCCTATTTTTAAAGATAAATCCATAAAAATAATATTAAAAGTATATTTGAAAATTTGGAACTCCAAGAGAAACCTAATAGTCAAAGAGATGATCAGAAGAAAGCTGGGTGTGAAAACTTTGGTTATTTCAGATCCAGAACAAATTTGTACTATCAGACAACTCAGTGGAGATCCACTTGCAACTGCAAAACTGTAGCCTCTAACAGAAGTAGTTACCTTCACAGCATTATGTGTTTTCTCTGTCATCTTACATTGATTGGTATCCGTGAAAACTTATCTCCCATGCTTAATTTTATCTCATTTTGACTTTGGCCTCGAACAGTTCTTGAATCTTTGAGATAACTACCATGCTTCTCTTTAAAATTATTGAAGTATTTTAAGCTTTTACAACAGTACAGGCTACCAATTAGCAACTTCTCTAACTATGTCTGGGAGGAGAAAAGAAAGAAGTCACCACTTGTGAACTGAGGAAAACAACTCCTGGCAAAAGGAAGCACCTACTTTGCCAGTCTCACCAGCAGAACTCTCCCAGGGTGCATTTATTTATCAAACTAAGGTATCTCTTGGATTTACTCAGAAAAACTGTAGAATTCATTCTCTGTGTCCTCACAAACAGCAAAACCATGGAAAGTCGAGTTTACATTATCTTTTTTTCTCCAGATACAGAGCATTCATTTACGCAACCAAAGTCATCGAAGTGTCTATCATCTAGGAGGGATACTTTCTTCTTGAAAGATTATTAAAAACATACTAGAGGGAAGCAAACACTTCAGAGCTCTCAAATAATGAGTTTATATTATTACATGATAGTAATGAGTACTCTTGAGAAGCACTGCAAAGTATTTTGGAACTTTAACTGACCCATGTATTGCACCAGAGATTAATATCCAACAGCTGAAAAATAGGTCTCCTGCTCCTAGACATTTTTTGCTATACGTTTTCATTAGTTGGTATTTTTAAGACTTAAAAGACCAAATAATCCTTCGTGCAAAGAAATCACTAATTAATACAGGGAAAAGGTCAATGACTTCATGGCATTCTCTCAAAAAACTGCACATCTGACTTTTCCAGATTAAGACATTTTAAGTGAGTTTTGAACTGGATACTGAGACTGATTCATTTTCAGGATTTTCTCCCCCTGATTCCTTTATTTGTAGCATTAATGTTTGAAATTGCCTCTTATCCACAGCGTGCAGATAGTAGATCCTCAAGTGGTACAAACTGCAAAGTGAATTAGCACACTAGCCGTATCCTGCTGGAAAAGGCAACAGCAACAAGGAGAACTGGAGACCACGCTGACATGCAGGCACAGTTGAAAAAGCTAGTGGAACTCGGCACGTACTGCCAAAAGCTGCAGCCAAGCCATATGGTTGAAATGACAATGAAAAATGGTATGAGGATTGGGAAATGAGCAGACCGGACAACATGGCACCATCTCTTATCTGAGGCAGCTATGAAGAGGATCAATTTTTTGGTTGCTCGTGACGTAATGATGGCTGATACCAGAGGTTGCAAGGAGTTTGGGTGTTTTGCTTGCTTCTACACACCTGCATCAGGCAAAAAAGTCCTCACTCATTTCAGATGTAAATGCTACCATAGGGAACTGCTTGAGATACATGTATAACCTATAACCAGAGAAAAAACAGAGCTCTGGTTTGCCAGTAATACTTCCTCTTGTGAAGTTGTCTCATATTCCAAATTTTCTCCTAATCAAGAGGTAGTATCTTAATTAGATCAGCCTGCATGCTTGGAGGAACGGGGGAGATGAAAACACACTTCCCAAGCATACAAATCTCTCTCCAGCTCCTTTATCGGGATGTCACAACAGGGATAGGCAGAATGACTGAGGTGGTAAGATACAGCACATAACCTTTTCAGTGTTAACAGAAGTGCTAAGCTGTGGAATCCGCCTCTAAATGAGAATCTAGCAAATCTTTTACCAAAAGATCTGCCCACCAGAAATTTTGACTTTTTAGAGTTGCTGCCAAACCTGTGCCATTTGTTGACAGCACATATAAAATAAATTGAGACCAAACCAACTTTATCAAGACATGAATTATTGATCATGGGGGTAGTGAAATCACAGAACAGGATCTCCTCAAATCTCTGCTGCTGGCATTTGTCAGCCAGCAAACTTTGACAGATAATGGAAAACTTAATGAATTCCACTAGGAATACTTCTAAGCACACAACATTACCAAAAAAAATCTGATGATCAAACTGTTAATGATCAAAAAAAAAATACTCCACACACAAAACCACTGGGATTCCTGCACATTAATTTGAGCTGGGCTCAAGCTGTGTCAATTAACAAAATTCAAAGCTAAAACTAGGTTAATGGAACATATGTCAGGAAACCAAAACAAGCAGTTAACTTAGGGTTTTAAGTAAAGTCGGTATTTTTGCCGAAGTAGCCTTCTTCGTGCTCAGAGGCAGAGAGCTCACCCACTCTGTTTAGCATATTAAAGACAGATTCCTGTCATCTTAATGCAAATTGAGGCAAAAGCTGTAAGCAAATTAGGTAATCTGCTCCTTAAGAAATATGGTGTCAAGCAAGTAGGACAAACCATAAAACGAGCTAATTTTAGTCCACTGCTCAGAAGTACTAGGGAAGAACTGGATGAACGAGGCGACATTTTTAAAGCAGCAGAAAGCCTAAAGGGACAGAGAAGTAATGCATGTAACCCTGCTTTCTCAGTTGAGAAAAACCAAACCTATCCTAGAAAACCAATGTCTCCTAGCTTTCTTAATGACATCTCCTTACGCTTTCCTAATTACAGTCCAGAATATTAGGGTGGTAAACAAAATTACATTAAGTCAGTTCTCCAGACTGAAACACTACTGTTTGGAAAAACCTCAAGGACGAAAGAGAAACACTGCAAATATTTGAAAAGTGTCATTATATTATTTTTCTTTAAAATGGGATCATTCTTAGCATCCTTTTAACCTCACGCCAAACCCACTCTTAGCCTGATCTCAAAATCTTGGGCTAAACTGATCCTGAGGACGAAATATTTTGAACAGAAAACTAAGTCACTGCTGAAAAATAGTGTAAAAAGGAGGCGTAGCTGGTAAAGATAGGGTTTGCTGTTGACTGCAGTATTTCTCAAAAAAAGTTATGTATTCAAGGAACAAGCCATTTTATAGAGACAAGGATTATAAATTACCCCCCTATGGAGAAGCTACAGCTGGTTGTAAAAATGAAAGTATTAAAAAAATTGGATGATGACACACTAGAACCATATTCCAACTGCTACATGCCAAGCACGCACTGTAAACCTACCACAACTCAGGAGTCAGCAGAAACTCACTGCAACCTGCAATGAATAGACACTTACTAGAACTAGCAAGTCAATCTAGAAAGTTAATGCCACTTTTTCTACTTGAGACATCCCTATATCTTGGGCAGCACAGACATTTTTGGATGCATGCAGAGTGCAGAATCAGCATCCTGAAATCTTCAGGAAGATTTTACAATCCATGAGAACATATTCCCGCACTCCGAGAGAAGCTAAAAGCCTGGATTCAAAGGAGGTTTCCGCAGTAAAACATGAAACCATGTGAAAAGGCCTTCAGGAGTAAACGGTTGCTGTCAGATCACTTATAACAAAGTTTATGGGGGTAGTTTTGCCCCCTTAAAACAAGAGCTATGCAACTTGGAGACTGGAAAAATAGTGGAAGTCACCATCCTGGAAAAAATCTGTCAAATGCAAGGGAAAGTCCTGGAGAGCACTGAACAGGCTCTACTCTGTCTGACAGGAAGTTCTTTGTTCATCCTGCTACAAAGAGGCAGGGGTTACCACACCAAGATTAAGAGCAAAAGAAATATCACCTAGTTCAACTACTTGTACAAAACTGACCAGGGATGCCCACTCCTACTTCAAATCAATAATTTCCATAAAGGACAACCAAAACAGAAGTCAAGTTGCAGCATTTTCCTCCTATTCTCTGATGTAAGAGTGCAATGTTAACACTAAGAGATAACACTTGTCATCCTTTTCATCTCCTCTACCCTACAGTGCCTCATTATCAAATCTGCTTCCTTGGCCTTCTTGCAGCACGAACATCTCAATCTATAGAAGAAATGTTAGGAGACAGCACAAGAGCTTCAACCCAAAGTGATTTAAACGTCCTAGCATAATTTAAAGAGTTGGACTTCTAGCTTTTGGACACTGAAGACAGTCTGACAATAACCATCTGGAGTGCGTAGCAGAAAAGGCATTATTTTGAAGAAAATATGGAAACGGTTAAGCATTTGGAGGAAATATAAATTAGTAAATGTCTAAAGTAAAAATTGAGTCTATATTCCCAAATAAGACTAGCAATGGTACTTATTTAATGAAACTGGTACATCTTTTCTTTCTTAGATTTAGTTCTCAAAATAAAGTTGCTAAAAAAAAAAAGTGTTACAACTTAACATTTCACATGAAGTGTTAAAAAATATTTTAGACCTCTGTCTTCTCATGTACTTTTCTATGACATCATACTCATTACTAGTTGCACACAATTTAAATCAAGTAATATTAGTAATTCATTCATTTTTTTCCTACATTTTCACAGATTCAGTGTAATAGAAATAGCCTATAAAGGCGCTTACCTTGAATGAGTGGTATGTACCGTGCTAACAGCTTTGCCCTTTTCTTCTCATATCCTTTTTGAGTGATGTCTCCTACAGGAAAGAGAAATAAATTCATATAGTTTTGAACAGCTTTTAATAGCTTCTCATTTGCACGATACCTCTTATTAAACTCAGCAACTTTGAATAAGTCACATTAGCAACGAAGACCTGAGTAAGTCAGAAGCAGCTCGTGACTTTCAACATACCCATGCTATCTGTACGCAACTTTAACATGAGTTAACTGCCTTAAATCTTAGGTTTATACAGTACAGGAATGGCTTTTTTTTTTTTTGCCTGCAAAAAAAGGCATGTGAACATTTTTGCTGCAATGCAGATCGCAGCAAATCTACAGCAGCACAAAGGATTTGCAGCGTAATGTGAACCACCACAAACAACGTGCTTGGTTCTGCACCGTTCTGGGGCACCAGAAATGCTTACAATACTATGGCTTGGGAGAACATGCTGTAACACATGTCCGTGAAGCACTTTTCACAGCTCCAGTTTATTGCCATTTACTCTGTACGGCACAGCATCTCAAAGGCTCCTCTTTCAAACTCTGGGAGGCGATACTCTGTTTCTAGCATTAGTTTTTATTGCCAGTTCTAACCTGACTTTGTATTTTAAGACTGTGTTGAAGAGACTTCATTGTTAAAAGATGACATGTCTTTTTGAATAGTATAAATGAGAATAAAAATACTTAGAAATCCACATGCAATTTTTGGACACGTTTTATAATCCAGTACTTCCATGTTTCTACCGACATAACAAAAAAGCTTTGGGCAAAATCACCAGAGAGCCTAAGGAAAGATCTTCGGAACAACCTTAATCATAGATTTCAGATTAGACAAGAAATCAAGGTAGTGATCTGAAGCACAGCCTTAAAAATCACTCCCCACTTCTCCAAACTCACAACCTTTCAGAGAGGGTGACACACGACAGTTCACTGCCAACTGTGAACATTTATCCATGTTTGGAAAATCCATCTCTGCAGAAATAAAATCAATATCATGGAAATGCAAAATATTTTACAATGTTTTTGAAAATAAGAGTAAGTTGAAAAACAAATGAATGCATGGTGACTGAGTGGATATAGGATTAGCATTTGATAACTCCCCAAATATTATTTTTGTGCAAGACAAGGCATATACAAGACCTCTCTGATGCTGCTTCTCAGATGTCTAGTAAGAACTGGCAATATGCTGCAGATCTGGGCCATAATTGGGTTGCTTTGGCCCCAAGCTTTCTTGAATGCAACCAGTAGAAATAAATAAATAAATAAAAAGTCAGATCATGATCTGTATGGGCCTTATTCCTTTTGCAATTGGAATTCAGCTGTAAAATATTTCTAAAATCAGCTATAGTAAAATCATCTGCCATGGGAATTCATCTGAAGTATTTGTCATCCAAAATATACTTTTTTTCCCCCCTATTGCCCTCAAATACCCGCTTCTCTCCTGCATCTGTGTGCACTGCTAACACAGAAATTGCTCCCCATTACCATCCCTAATCCTCAAATTCAAGAATCAAATAAGCAAATCTATCATCAAGATACTGACAGTACATAAAAATAGGCTAAGAGAGGTTTCTGCATATACTGTTCAAATGTAAAAAAGATTTAAGGAAAAAAAATCAAAATGCTTCAATCATTGCAATTACTTCCAATATAACGAAGCAGAACATGTCTGTTTTTATTGAGAATCCTGCATTCCATATCATAATCCTTGCACATAGATCAAAAAACTTTGGCTAGCACTTGCCTTGGGTAAAAAACTTCTAGTAGATGTTAAAGACTAAAAATACCTTATTAAAATTAAATTGAAACCAAACTGTTCAGCTGTATCTATGGTTGGAAAAGAACGATCAAAATGACAAAATACATTTTTACATAAAAACACCTGTACAACATTAAAAATTACCAAAAAAAGAAAAGAATGTTTTTCAGCTGTGGGGAAAAACAAATGAGAAGCACACACAGTGAGAACAGTCCATCTTAAAAGTAATCTGGAAGGTTAAAGCAATCTCTCCTAGGAAATGCAATAAATGACAACTCTTGCATGTGAGATATTTGCCATACCGTAACTTCCACGCAGAAAACAATTTTCACAGCTCCACAAGTGATGCAGGTACTCCTTATACCAAACCTCAGCGCAGACCAGCCCCCCTAATTGAAGGGGCAGGCTATAGAGGTATGCCACAGCAGATCAAACAGGGATGAAGTCTCATTTAAACTAGAATATCACAAACTTTTGCTTCTTGCTGCCTTCGCTGCCTCACAGATTTAGCTGCACAAAAAAGAAGCTGAATTCAAGGGCTTTCCTTGAACTGAGCCAGGAAACGTCGAAAGTCAAAAGCATCTCTGTAGACTTTTGCAGCCCTGCAGGAAAGCCTGACACTGAACTGCCAAGGTTTCTTTGTTCTCTTCTCCAAAGCTTGGGGGTGGATTCCTCCCTGACAAGGGCTCCCACCCCCCTCATCCTCACTGCCTCCCTGGGATTAACCCATTATTTGGGGTCTTTGTAATCCCTCACCTCAAAAAAAAGAGGCTGAGCCACATCTGGTATGGCAGGGCCACAGCTGCTGTCATTTAACCTCACTTTCTCCCTAGTTATTAGATTAGACAAAAGCAGCCTAATGTTGCTTGGCCTCGGTGAGCCAGCTGGGATCTTGGCATAAAGATGGAAGATGGTTTGGATGTTTTGAGCTGTCAGTTCTCTGCCTGGAATATATACATATTTTAAAATATGTCAGAGGTCGCAAGACAATCTAGATTTTTATGTTCATCCTTTTCTTAATCAGGGCACAATGACTCTTCAATGCAGTTAGCCCAAGAGTGTCTGTATTTAATGGCGCTAGTCCTATAGCAAACAAAATATTAATGCCAAACTAAACAGTAGGATTCCAGAGGGATTTGTGTGAATTATTTTCAATTGGACATTCACTATTTAGGTTCAGAAATTCCCCTATTTTTTAAGTTCTGAAAGGCAAGTGCCTCAATGCTCTTTCAAATAGCAAGACTAAGAAAAAGCATATGATTTCCTGTCTAGATACAGTCACTAACTATGCTTACTCCAGCTGCAAAATCCTGACGTTGTCATCTCGGTTACAGCAATCCTACTGGATGGGTAACAAGATTTAGAAAAAGATTGTTTCCTAGGTACTGTTTATGCACAAGCTCTGCAGTCTGCAAATACAGCACACCCTATGGAGAACATTTTTTCCTTTTACACCACCAAAAAAGGACACCCATGCAGCACACGAATACACAGGGCAGAGCATGCCCAGGGCCATTCCAGCTCCTTCCTACCTTGGGGTTCTTGCAGGAGGGACTCCTAGAAGGCATGTGACAGAGAAGGGAAGATGTGCAAGAGGCAAGCAGGGCAGAAGTCTGGGGGGACGGCAGGCTTTCTACCAGGCGGCAACTTTGTGGGCCTACGTGCCGAGTAAGGAGCAAAAGAACCTGGCTTCCCCTTGCAAATCTCACTGTTGGACAGTCTGAGCACTCAAATCTATCGACTCTTGACAAACCACTGCAGAAACTTTTGCCAGTTCACTCACAGTAAAGTGCACATATTCAGAGGTAACAACACTGCCTTTTCCTTAAGTAGGCTGTTTTTTGACGGTTTGAACAGGCAAGGAAATTGACTAGTGTGCAGTAGAACCCTGAAGTCAGCTAGGAGGGATTTAGGTAAATCCTCAGTCTTGTGGGGGACCAGCTGTCAATGCATCTGAAAGATCTGCACTGCATAACTACACTGCATTGCTGTGATGCACTGTTCCACTATTTTTGACTTACATGCTTTAAAATTCAAATGGCAAAAGTTGGGAAAGAAACAGTTACTCTGCGATGCGTATCTGAGATTTCCGCCCACTGTGAAAGCAAAGACAATCCAGGCATTTCCAAGAACCATGATGAGAGCCAGCAATAACGAAAGCCAGGAACAGTTGGTGCTACAGCTGGAGCAGCAAAGGATGGCACCGAGAAACACCGAACCGTGCAGCCATTGGATGTAATGGCTCAATTCCTAATGCTATCTGCCCTCCAAATTGTAAGTAATGTGCCAACCAGTCCCAAGGAAATTGCTGATGAGGGAAACATCGGAAAAACAGAAAGCAGATATGCAGCTCTCAGTGTTGCCTTTACACAGCTAATTGGAAGCTGGAATTGGAAGGGGCTTTTTGATCAGGAAAAGATTGTTTTTCTAACACTGCTGCACTAGACTTGCAGGGCAGGAGCTGCCCATTTCAGCTGCAGCTCCCAAGATGAAACTAAGCCACCAGGGTCAGTTAGATCTATCTTCATAGCATATATTTCATGTATGATATACTGCAAGGAATGTCAGTCGGACTTATGTTTCCGAGCTTTGGAAATTTGCAGTATCTAATTTGATATGGCACTGGGACAGCCAAGATTAGGCGTTGAGGCTCTGAAAGAGAGCAGGGCACAGCACGGAAATAGAGCAGAATGGCTGTATCTATGCCCAAAGTTGTTGTAATAAAACCCACCACAGCTTTCCAGAGGAAGAGGAGGAGGAGGAAGAAAAACTGCTCTCCTCGGTGCTGAACCCTCTCAGCAGTCGGAGCGGTGAAGCACAGCACGTCTTCCGTGTTCCCACTGAGACATTAAATAGCTAGCGCAAAGGCAAGGTCAGGATCCTACCAAACAGGACAGCTCTTCTCCTGTTAACGCCCAATACCAAATATCTGACACCTCAATACCAAGGGTGCAACTCAATCAAAATTCAGGTCTCAAAATCAAGTGTTATGAGGATGTTTCCAAGTCATAACACAGAGCATTTTTTTCTAAAGAAGACAAAGTGATATCGAACAGGTGAATTAAGTCTTGATCTGCTCATCAGCTTGCAAAAACTACCATCTCCGAGCTCCATGGAAAATTTCACAGGCTTTTCCAGATTATCACACAGCTTGAACTCAGTGCTTACATGTGCTTTAAGGACTGAACTCTCCAGCATTTGGAGATCCACTTATCCCCTTTCAAGGCAGCAGAGGTTTCTCACATACAATATAGAGTTTCAAGTAGTTTAAGGTTGAAATATGACTGAGAAAATTTCCTGAAGAGGAAGAGAAGATTGAAATAAAAATTCTTAAAAATAAACTAGGAAAATTCTGGAAAGGGAGAACTGGCAAAACAATGCTTTGCAGAAACGAAACACTCTTAAGAAAACAGTAAGCGGTTTGTAGACACCTTTTCC